GCTATTTCTGCTTTCCAAAGTAAAGCAGTGATTAACAGGCAGAAACAGAACCTACCTGTACTAGTCTCTCTCTCTCTCTCTTCTCTCTCTCTCTCTCTCTCTCTCTCTCCTCTCTCTCTCTCTCTCTCTCTCTCCTCTCTCTCTCTCTCCCTCTCTCTCTCTCTCTCTCTCTCTCTCTCTCTGATGGAATACTATTTACTGTTGTCACCTGACATTTGCATCATTGGCAGTCCCAATGTTAACAACATTCAATAAGTTACTTGTTACGTACACACAGACACACACACCCATTAAACTGACATCACTGAGACCTCTCCCTTTGAGTCACTGTCTAACACTCATCTGTTTTGGTCTGTTAACATTGAGGACAGCCTATCCTTTCCTTACAAACTCTCCAGACCAGTTTGAGTCTTCAGCAATCGTTCCATTGTGTTCTGGAGACAGTACAGCGAGAGAGAGGGTAAATGGAAGCTATACCTACATAGAGCCATATAACATTAAACAACACAGTATGTTGTATCCTAAGTGGAGTGGCTCCAGCTATAGCTGAGGGTACAATAGGTTGAAGAGTTACTCATAGCGCTCTCTCTCCTCTCTTCGCTCTTTTACAAGCTCTCAACTGACACCTCCTCACCTTTAACAAACACAAGGCACATACAAGCATCAACCTGTGTATACAAACACCACTTATAGACAGCCTGACACTAACAATGGCAGGCAATAAAAGTTGCTCTGAAAGCTCAACTTAACACCGCAGTGCAGAGTGTGAGACTCTGAGGCAGGCAGGCAGGCAGCCACCCAGACCAGCCAGGAGACCAAACAGCAGAAAAAGTTCACCCACCGCTCTCTCTCTCTCTCCTTCTCCCTCTCTCTCTCCTTCGCTCGTCGCGACTTTTGCAGGAGTCCGATTAGAATCACCGCGGCCCGGATCCCAGCCTTTTTAGAGTGGACCCTCGGAGGAGCGGGCTCGGGAGAGGAGCCTGACATGGTGTGTGGTTGTGGTTCTGGATCCAGACTGGGTTGTGCTCTAGTCCCTGATGGGCTAGTCCTGGTCCTAACGGACCACACGGTACAGCAGCACTGCCACACACAACCTCACCGGCACAGGCAGACTGACTGTATCTCTGCATCTCTGTCTACCTATTTCTTTCTCATGCGCTCTCCCTCTCCCTGACTCGCTCCCTCCTTCCCGGCTCTCTATCCCTGCCCACCTCAGCCTGATAGGCAGGGCTTATTGTAGGTTCTGCCCCTTTCTCCTCCTTCTCCCTCACTCTCTGTGTGCTTTTACAGTCTTGACTGTTTTCACTTGCACATTACTGCTTTGTGCTATTTGAGATTACTGCTATGTGCTATTCCTGCTTTGTGCTATTTGAGATTACTGCTATGTGCTATTTGCCATACTGTATATAACGTATGGCTAATGGCTTCTCATTTTGCCGTCCTTGTTTCCTATCTAATCTCCTCTGTGACCTTGTTCCATTTCACCTCTGTGTTTTTTCACCCGCTCTCTCTCTTTGTGAAATCTCAATTTAAACAGCATATCAGAAGCCTTCTGCGGTTGCCAAGAACATTTGAATTGAAGTGTAACTGCACAGAACAAATAGAAGATAGGTTTAGAGAAAGAAGAAACCAAATGCTAGTAACATCAATCCCTCCATCTCTCCCTCTATCTCTCCCTCCATCTCTCCCTCCATCTCTCCCTCCATCTCTCTCTCCATCTCTCCCTCCATCTCTCCCTCCATCTCTCCCTCCATCTCTCCCTCCTGTCTCTCTCTCCATCTCTCCCTCCATCTCTCCCTCCATCTCTCTCTCTCTCCATTTCTCTCTCCTCATCTCCCTCAATTTCCCTCTCCCTCCACCTCTTTCTCTCACTCTCTCCATCTCTCCATCTCTCTCTCTTTCCTCCTTTCTCTCTCTCTCCCTCCATGCATCCCTCTCTCCCTCCCTCAATTTCTCTCCCTCCCTCCATCTCTCTTCCTCTCTCTTCCCTCCATCTCTGTCTGAGGCCAGCTGATGCTCTAGCTCCGCCCCAAAGCTTGGCAAACACGAGTCACCATCATTCTTTCCCAGAACCCACTGCAGCCAGCGAGACTTTATTTTCTGTTCTCCCTCCCTCCATCTCTGTCTGTCCTTCCGTCTCCTCCTTTGGCCACCTGTTTGCTTGTCATCTCCTCTCTGTTTGACAGCTCAATGACTTCCATGAATGGTGGTGTTTCTCTCCCCCCTCTCCTCCTATTGTCTGCCGTCTCTCCGGTACAGTACAGTGTGCACTCTTGCCCTGCACTCTCAAAGACCCTCCTGGATGGACAAAGGCTCTCTGTGTCTGTCTGGCTGTCTGTGAACTTGCAGGTGTCTTCACAGGCTCAACAGTGGAGGGTCCTTAGACACATGTATGTGGACAACACAGCATGAGAGCCTATAGACATGATACAGTAAATGGATAATAGTGTGTGGGAGGTTATGGTATGATAATGCCTGTCCGTTGATATGTATTCTGTTTGTGGGAATGGATGTTTGTTACTATTTGTGGAATAGCTCTTATAACAAGTGATGATATCCTGTATTGTTGATGAATATAACAACTTTCCCATCCCTACAATTATATATATATTTTTTTATTTTTTTGGAAATACGAGTGATGCTCTGTAGCTCAATTGTTAGAGCATGGAGTTTGCAAAGCCAGGGTAATGGGTTCGATTCCCAGGACCACCTCTACGAAAAATGTATGCACGCATGACTGTAAGTCGCTGTAAAAGTGTCTGCTAAATGGCATATTAATATTATTATTAATAATTGATTTATAATAGTTCTGATATTTGCCCTGCCTCTACAATCTCCCTTGGAAATCAGGGCCTCATCCGGTATTCACCCTCGTTATGCCTCAATACAGCAATGAGGGGCTTTCAACCATTAACTCTCTTTCCACAGAAAGTCATTTCAGACAGAGAATCTGTAAAACCAGCACCAACAAGGTGCGGCTGGCTTCCAGGTTAAGCGAGCAGTGTGTCAAGAAGCAGTGCGGATTGGCAAGGTCGTGTTTCGGAGGAGACATGGCTCTTGACCTTCGCCTCTCCCGAGTCCATACGGGAGTTGCAGCGATGAGACAAGACTGTAACTACCAATTGGATATCACGAAACTGGGAAGAAAAAGGGGTAAAATAAATAAATAATAAAAAACAATACAACCAGCACCAACAAAGGTAACAACAAAAAAGGTAGAGGTGCTAGATCCATCTGCATAGCATCTCCAGTGTTCTATCTATGTCATGGTAACGTTGGGCCAAGTCCTAATCTGCCTATCGGACACCTTTCCCCTGGCAACCCCAGTGAGACTTAGGAGACCGGAGGAGAGGAGGGAAATTATTTTGTTGTTGCTGCTCAATTAAGTTAATGACCACTTTTTAGGGATTATGACAAGATTGATGAGATGTGTGGTTGAGTAGCACATAGCCATAATAGTATATGAATCCTGTGAAGGTAAAGTAACTATTTTAGATTGTACCCAATGATACCCAATTAACTACCAATGTTTATTGACTTTCATGTGCTTTATTACATGTTAGAGACTCATCTGTCTGTAGAGCTGATCAGGGATCTGTATCCCAGCTGAGGATTCTCCAAGCCTCCCCTGTGTGTGCGTGAGTGTGTGTGCATGCATGTGTGTGTGTGTATCCGCGTGCAGATGTGTGTGTGTCAGTGAGGCTCTGGGGTGACAGCGAGAGAGACAAACAAGCTCTCACTCCTCCCACCCAACTGGAGAGCCAGGTTCCACAGGGGCTTCTGTAAACACATGAATACACACACTTCACACCTCAGCCCTCCCAATCCCTCCTCCTCTCCCAGTCCCACCCTGAGTCCTCTCCTCCTCTGCCCCACCACTGCTGCTCTCCTGTGGGGTAGATCATTTCATGCGCCTCCTCCACCGCGTTGGATCACTCTTGGCTTGTGTGCTTGTACGTCAGCAGGTGGGAAATGGGACGCCTGTATCCCAGGCTGTCAAACAACCAGAAGCAGCTGTGACAGCCACCGTTCCTGTCTGATACACACACATAGAGACTGACACACAAGCATACACGCACATACTAAGCACTCATCCCAAGGGTGGACTCACACACACCCACGCACACATTTCCCCAGTGTGGAACAAATGAAAATACATCACTCTGCCACCCTGGCACACTTTGCCGTCGTCACAAACAAACAGCAGTGCTTAAAAGAGACTGCAATGCCAACCAACCACTCCAGTCATCCTACCACCTCACTACACACGTCACAGTGTCACACAAACGCCAAATCAAATCAAATTGTATTCATCACATGCTTCATAAACAACATGTGTGGACTAACAGTGAAATGCTTACTTTACCACCAACTGTGGCTCATAAACAAAGAGATGCCACTATCACTACGCCATCTCATCGTCCTCGCCACCCAGCGTAGAAGCACACACACACACGTACACACACCACTGATCCCGCACCAAGAATTTGGCATATGGGAGAGATGACCTTCACAGCCGGTGCAGAGGAACACCCATCTCTGTGGACTACAAACGAGTGCTTTGCTTATACACAACTCAGCACTTTCCCTCTCTCCTCACCCCTCCTCCACCTGCTGCTCCCTCGCTCCCTCGCTCCCCCACTCTCTCTTCATCTCACACTTCTAGTGTAACAACTCCTGTCACGAGACAGCCACGGCCTCTCAAGAACGGGAGCAAACCAAATGATAAAAGATGACACACTCTCTCTCTCTCACACACACGCACGCACACACGCACGCACACACAAACACAACCCCTCGGACAAGGTGACTGCGGCCATGGGCCTGTAGGATTTAATGACCAACGGTCATTGCCAAACTAAACTCACATGCCCAAAATAGCGGCGGACCGCACATGGCAAACATGTGGCTCTGGAGCCCGGCCCATTCAAGGAGTTCCTTCCTCCCTCCAACCCTATCAGCACTGGTGCCAGGATCTTTACAGCTCCACAAACACACAT